GGCCTCATTCAACTTCAAGTGCAGGATATTTTGCAGGCTTTAAAAAATGTAGACGTCTCAAAAGGTCATGGACCTGACGGAATTCCTCCAGTATATATTAAATGTCTAGCAATGGAACTCACTGCTCCATTGTTCTGGATTTTTAATATGTCCCTAGAATCTGGAACCTTCCCAAAAACTTGGAAAAACTCATTCCTAGTGCCTATCTTTAAATCTGGCCGAAAATCTGACGTACGTAATTATCGTGGTATAGCCATTATCTCTTGCATTCCTAAACTTTTCGAGGCAATTGTCAACGAAAAATTTTTTCTCCAAATCAAAAATAGAATTACTGACATGCAACACGGCTTTTTCAAGGGTCGATCGACCTCGACAAATTTACTTGAATTTATAGACTATTCATTGAATGCAAGCACGTAGAAGCTCTGTATACAGACTTTAGCAAGGCATTTGACCGCATAGACATACCAATGCTACTTTTTAAATTGCAAAAAATTGGAATTGAGTCAGGGCTCCTAAAATGGCTTGAATCATATTTAACTAACCGCCAACAAATAATTAAATTCAACGGAAAGAAATCGAGTCCAATTCAAGTCACTTCAGGCGTCCCCCAAGGCTCTCATTTGGGACCTGTTCTTTTTATTCTATACGTAAACGACATTTCTTTCATTCTCAAAAAACTTAAATTGCTTATTTATGCCGACGATATGAAGCTCTTTTTGGAAATAAGAAATGAAGATGACATCAATATATTCCGCAATGAAAAAAACATACATATGGTGCAAAAAAAGTCTACTAGAATTGAATGTAAAAAAATGCAACCTAATATTATTTAGCAGGAAAAGAACAACTTCAAATATTTCAATTGCACTAGGAAATCAAAATGTAGAAAAATGTGAAAGAGTTAGGGATTTAGGAATTATCTTAGACTCTAAACTAACTTTCATAGACCATTACAACACAATTATTCACAGGGCAAATAACATGCTAGGCTTTATCAAGCGCTTTTGCTATAACTTTCAGGACCCATACACAATTAAAACACTATATATCGCCTATGTGAGGTCAATACTGGAATATTGCAGTATTGTATGGTCTCCTTTTTCAATCACGCACGAAGAAAGATTAGAATCCGTACAAAAACAATTTCTATTATACGCTCTTCGTAAATTAGGTTGGACTTCATTTCCTTTTCCATCATATGAAGCACGCTGCATGCTTATAAACATACAAATATATACAAACATTAGAAGAGCGTCGTGAATATGCAATGGTTTTATTTGTAAACGATATCGTATCGCAGCGCATTGACTCCACAGAACTTTTATCAAAATTAAATTTCCATGCACCTACTCGGCAACTCTGAAATCCAAATTTATTTGTCATAAAACATCATCGCACAAATTATGCAAAATATGGACCATTAAACCGCATGATGGCCTCTTACAATCAATACTGCGAAACCATTGACTTTACAATGTCTCGGCATAAACTTAAACAATATTTTTACTCCATAAGGCATTATAACTCATAAAAAAATAGGAAATCTGTCACTGCTTATTTTTATTGAAGACAAAATTATACTTTTAACCTTTTGTCCAAAGTTTAGCTTTAACCTTTTGTCCAAAGTTTATTTCGTCAACAATAAATAAATTTAAGAAAACAAAACTGAATTCGAATATGTAGTAGTCTACGTTGGTTGACGAAATTTAAAATAAAATATGTGAAAAAATTCTGCACACTCACGGGCAAAATCCAACGTGGTCAGGAGGTGTGACTATGGCATGACCAGACACTCCCGGGTAACTAGCTCAGTAGCATGAGACCCCTGAACTGTGTCGCAGGGCCGGCATGTTACTGGGTATTCGGAGGGGCTACGCGAACAAAGTATGAAACACACAGGAATATTCACATTTTCTAACACTTTTATTTGCCCTTTTCTGTGGCGTGTGGGTGTGGGTTTTCACATATATGTGGCGTGTATGCGAGAGTTTATAAACGGTACGGTACTCACTGTTGCAGCAGAACCTCCTTCGGCGTCGCGACGCTGGCGTTGGCCCACACGGCTGCTCCTGCACTACCGTGTGGCCGGAAACTTGCGGCGCGGGCTGCAGACAGTGTAGTTGCCGCTTTGGGAGAATGGCGGATCTGGTGGCGTTCATCAGCCACATACGGCTCAGCAGGCGTTGCTGGCTCGTTTGGCTGGCAGGCGTCTTCCGTCGTTGACAAAATCGGCTGACCGTGGCATGGCCACCTTGGTCGAGCCGAGACGGAACCCTCCTTGGCAATTAAGGCCACCGGCCTGAGGGAATCTTCCCTGACGGACGATCGAGGATCATTTACTATTAGGCTCGGAAGCCATCTTGACTTCCGAGCCGAGCCGTGTAAAACCGTTTTGTTTACGGTACGAGGTGTACATGTTGTACAAAAGCACAAGAACACAAGAGCACAAGAGCACAAGAGGTCCTGAGAATTATCAAATTCTGTCAGGGAAATTTCCGTCAGGATAATAAAAATCAATTACCTGAGCGGAGGTAGGCTATCCAGCCCAAACCCCACAAGAGGGGGGGGGTTGTATTATATATGCACTACACTTCACGATACCGGTCTACACGGACACCTGATTACTTCTGCCAATTAGAGGGTTTTTTCTTTTACAACATGGCCACTCGCATGCCTTTTGCCGATCATTCTCCATTTTTAGCTTAATTGTCCTCCCTTTAGTATCGTTCGAGTGTTTTTGCATCTTTTATATTAAAATACGTGAATTTTCCAAACAACAACAACTCATACAAACGAAAATCCACGGATTGTAACCAACTGGTTACAGAGGAATGATTGCAAAGGCTCTCAAATTTCCAAAATCGACTGTTAATACCGTGCTTAAACGTTACCGGAAAACACTAACGTTGGATCGTGCAAAACAAACGTAGAAGGGGATCATATGACCGAAAACTACGAGCGAAGGTCATAAGGGCAGTCCAAAAGAATCCTGGGATCTCCGGTCGTGATTTGGTGAAAAGGTTCAGTGCGGCACACAGTACAGTTCGGTTTCCGGTCCTACCATGCCAGCAAACATCCCAACATGACGCTGCAACAAAACCTGGTTGCCAAAAACCGTGCAAGGAAGCTGTACGAGCAAGTTCTGACCAAGTATAACGGATGTATTTTTATGGCCGATGAAACTTACGTAAAAGGCAAGGCAAGGCAACGCAAGGCATCTGCAGTTGCGGAAAGAAAACAAACGTTTTCATCACTGGAGCGACTATGAATGGACAACTTTACAAGGAGGAGTGTCTCCAGAACATAATTTTGACGTTCATTACATCACACGAAGGTCCCGTAAAGTTCTGGTCTGACTTAGCCAGCTGCCATTACAGCCACGATGTCATAGAATGGTATAAGCAGAATAATGTCGATTTTGTTGAGAAAAGTATCAAACCACCAAATTGTCCAGATTTTCGTCCCTCCCTGCGAGAATAAACTCGCGTGCGAATGCGACAAACAAAATTAACGCTTGAGATTCTCATGCATATTCATGCACTCACACTCACAACGCCGAAAAATCATTCCAGCTTTAAACTCATAAAAACCACTCAAACGTCAATTGATATCATGCCTATGCATGTTGTGCTAGTTTAACAATAGTAATAACAATGAATAACGCCAAAATATAAAGCAATGAATTTTTGAACCTGAAAACTCATCGGTGAGTTTTGCTAGGTAAAACTCATAGGCGCATAAACTCATGCATGATATTTGAGTTTTTGAGCTTTTTCGAACACTGCCAACAAACAATACGAAACTAACGATTTTAAATTGACTCACTACTTGACTACCCTATTGGTCCCAAGCAAATCGTTTAACGTACCCCAGTCTAGTCGAAATTTTAGTCACCATTAGGTGTAGCATAAATCTGGTTATTTGGTTCAGAAAGGAAGAGGAATGAAGCCTCCCCGTGGAAATGCATACTTTTGCGCCGCGGATGAGGTGATGTGACTCGCTGTCACTAGGGAGGTGACAAAAGTCAGTAAAGTCACCACGTTTGAGGTGACTCTCCATTTGATTCACACGAAGAGTCACCTCACTCGCGGTGACTTTTGGCACCTCACTAGTGACAGCGAGTGACCTCACCTCACTCGTGGCGCAAAATAAGGGGATTGCCAAACAAGCTTTGAAATAATTAGGAGGGGGGGGGGTATGATAACGTGCGTAATTTATAAAGGGTGGTCGAGAAATTGTGACAATATGTGACAGTAGGAAGAGGGTGCGTTAATTTTGGGGAAATTTTGCGTGACATAATAAATTTCACTTAAACTAATAACAGATAATTCCGAAAGATCATAACCAGTAAGACACTATTCTAATTTTCAATTTTTCTCAACAAAACCCTTTCTCTATTTTAGATCATGAGAGAGGACCTCTCATGATCTCTTTCGTTCAATGAATACTTTTGTAGGTTTTGATATTAGCTACAATTTTTGTGAATAATTCAATTCGGTATATCTTATGTATGATAAACCAGAGCGAACAGAACGCAAATGTTCATGAACTTCACTAAACTTACCTGAAATTATCCAACATTCTCTAAACGTTTCCAAAATTCTATGAATTGCTCCAAAGTTTATTAAACTTTCCAAAGTTATTCATTGCCTTAAGGTTCCAATGTTTCCTAAAGTTCTCCGTGCTGCCTGACCTTTCTCAATTGTTTCCATCTTAATTTTCCAAAGTTCTTTAAAATGTACTGAGCTTTCCCAAAGTTCCTTGAGTTTCAGAGAAGTGTAATACTTCAGGTTAGTTCATGAAACAACTGTATTAAGTACTCAGCTAACAACATAAACAACATTAAAGGTAATTTACCCCACTGACTATACTAGGTAACGGTTTTGCCGAAGCCGTCATTTGCCCTACTAACTGTAGACGGCAGTAAGTAAACTAGCTTTTGGTAAACATATAGACAACAACAGCATAACGTACCGTTTTCTACTTCCTAATTCCAGCAACATCCAAAACATCATCAACGCCTTCAGGGTGCACCTGAACATCGATCTGCAACAGAGGGCCGTCGAGTTCCATCAACTGTTCACCAGCCACAGTCACCTGAGGGCAGCCCTGCTGGAAAAGATGCCCACGATGAAAATATCCACGATGACCACCTCGGAATACAACTCGGACTTTGCTGCCGGACCGACATCCGGCTCGCAATCGCAAAGCGAACAATCCACACCGCTCAAAGAAACTTCTGTATGCGTTCGACTCATACTATCCATCTCTAACCAATATTCACACTTAGATATTCGCCTTATTTTTTTAGAATCAAGACATCCTACTGGACTTGCTGGGGAATTCCTTCGGAAGTGGTTCGTCGACTGCCAACACGACTACCACTCCAAGTCCCCTGGAGCAGACCGCACCGGTTGAGCCACCTGTGAACAATACAGACATTTTGGACCTGTTGGGATTGGGTTCCTACGACCAGTCCAGTCCCTTGCCAACGCCGTTTACCCCTCCTACGACCAGAATCAGTCCCACGGAGTACTCGGCCACGACAATCCCCGTCTTCAGTCGGGATAACATCGACATTCGATTCATCGTCAAAAGAGAACGGGACCACGCAGTGGTCACAGCCAAAACTACCAACAATTCGGTCAATATGCTAGAGAAGTTCATGCTTCAGGTTGGCAATTCCACCATTGCTGTGATCTATTGCAAGTACTATAAAGAATTTCTTTTTCCGTAGGTTGCAGTCCCGAAGGCGTACTCGATCCAAATGCTAGTGCCATCAAGTACGGTGATGCTGCCTGGGGAATCCGTCGTGCAGGACATCAATGTAATTCGGACGAATGCCGCCATTGCCAGTGCCCTCCGGATGAAGGTTCGATTTTCCTACGACATCGGTAACTACTCCGTCATGGAACAGGCGGACGTAAACGAGTTCCCGCCGGATCTTTTCCTTTGAGTGCTGCTGTACACCATGGATGGGCCATCGAAAGCCGCCGATCTCAGCTAATCCAAACCTTACTGCAAACGATTGCTCAGCCGCGAAATACCATACAATTATCAAAAAAAAAATATCTAAAAACTGCAAACCAGGGCACAAAGTTTAAAATCAAATGGACTCTTTCGGAACCAATCAACTCAATTGACCATCAAATTAGATTCTAGTACATCATCCTGTTTTCAATGTAGAATATTTCAAATTAGATTTTATCATGGAAATTTAAAATAAAAAGTTATATTACTAGTAGAACTCTACCCCGTTAAAGAAATGTAGATAATTTAAATAAATACCGTTTTTAATCGCTTTCAAATTAATTGTTTCTCTCTGCTGCGACGACGATCCCTTCATACTGCATTCAATCCGTAGGATTTTGAATCACAATCAGAAGGAAATCCTTATCCGGGGCGACCATGATTTCGTGTTTCTTGGAACGGACCCTTAGGAATGTTAGATCGTTGGAGGGGTCCAAATCCCGGACCACGCTCCGTGCCTTGTCCGACAGCTGACTCATCAATCCGGCGTACTGAACCGTGGTCGTGTTATCCAGGGTGCTCTTGACCGGAATGCCTGTGGGCAAATCGATGGGAAATGTTATTCGTGCACCAACTAACGGAACATGACATCATCGCTGAATGTGACATCTACCATTTATGGATGGTTGGCGAGAAGCCACGAAACTTGTACTCAGTTTCAGTAATGGAAAACTCACCTTCATTGTTGACCACAATCGTACCGACAACGCCCTTGTGCGACTGGATTCGTTTCAGGGTTTCTTCCACCTCTTGCGACTGAAATTACCGGAGATGGACAAAGAATTTTACAGCTTGCTAATTTTAATCGATCAAATGAGCGCAACCAACCAGCTGCAAACATACCATTTTGATTAGCTATCACACTGCCTTGTTCACTACTACGATAAGTCGATGGTTGTGCTTTGAGTTATGATAAATAATATACAAATTTCACAGTTTTTCGCAGCTGAATCAGCGATGATAGAAAATTTTCAGCGCTTCCAAAAAGAATCTTGCTGCTGTCGTTCTCTCGAGACGATTTTGTTTTGACAACTCCGACCATTGGTGTTACCATAGTTACAAGCAGAGCAAACGTAACAGGCGTTATGTTATATTAGCCAAAGCGGCCAAAATTTAAGCATGTGTAACAGTGGGAACGAGGGGCTCCTCACTGTCATATCGGAATAGTGCAAAATAGTTTCCAATTTCCTAAAAATCCACACTTTTTTGAATTCAGCTTACAAAATAAAATAACGCAACTTTTTTTCACCAGTGACGTTATGCATGCTTGACATGTCATTCTAGAAAAAAAGGTCTCATGATTCAAAAATTGGGTTTTTAAGGAAAATTGCATTTTCTTTATCATTTTTAGCAGTGTCAAAATATGAATTTATTTTATTTTAATCGTTATTTACGAGATTTTAGCCATGGACTAGTTCATCTTGGTCCAGAGAAGAAAGACCCAAGCTGGCGTCCTTTAACAGAGTTTTTTTTATGACGTTACAGAGTTTTATCTGAACAGGAAATCAATTCCATTTGGCTAGAACGTAATTAAAAATAACAAAATTAATCTTGCAACGCAAAAGACAAACATTCTATAAACACGTAGTTTTCTAGCATAGTGCGATCCGAACTCGGATCCAAATAGGTTCCAAACAAGACAGACAACAAGAACAGAGAACAAGAACAGAGGGGTGTGAGATACTGAATTATCGCTCAGAATCGCTTCAGAAAACCAAATACCACCTAGGTGGTCGGCTCATCCCCTAGCATGTCTCGTATGCTGGCTGGTAGTCCGTAGAGGCCACTAAGGAGCTTCGAGGAGCACATGTTCATTTGTCGATGGGATTCTGCAGATGTCGCAAGTCTTCCGAAACAGTGCGCCACTGAAGTCCCACGAGATTCTTTGGTCACGCCGCTTCTTGAGGTCCTTCCATTTTTCAGTGCTTCCTTTGAACTTTATGATGAAGAACCAACCGGTGGAAACTAACGATTATAAATTGACTCACTACTTGACAGCAAACAAGCAAACGATTAACGTACCCCATTCTAGTCAAAATTCTAGTTCTACACAATGTTTGTTTTGATTTGCTATTAAAGTTTGCCGGATAAAATGAGGGGTTAGTGGATTTTCCTATGTTTCGAGGGGTGAATGGATTAGCTTGGGACCGAAGATAGTACCAGAGTTGAGTCAAAAAGTTGAGCACGTTTCTTCGGGGCCTTCTGGTCTAAGGGTTACCTCTATGGAAGAAATATCTGGTCATTCCGTCTCTCATGTTTTCCGTATGGTGTTCGTAATCCATCTACTGATGTCCTGTTGTGGAATACTATCCGTACATCTGCGGCCGGATGGGCCGTCCCCGGCTAAGTGGTCTGCTTTGTTATTCCCTGGGAACTCCGACACTCGGACACATTGTAATCACACCCATAGAAACACGCTAACGACACACTTCAACTCCCACAAAGACCCTTCCGCGCATGATAAGCAAATTTTTAAATCAATTCTGGCACTATACTACAATGTTTACATTCGATTGTTATTTGGTTGTTAAAAAAAATCGAGAAAAAAAACCCGCGTACCGTCCTGCAATAGCCGGTAAAGAAAACATTCTTAACCAGTTCTAACCAGTTGGGATCCACGAAAGCAGCAGGATCAGGAGGAACAGATGCTTAACAAAAAGGTAAAGATGTCTTGAAAGAAAACCAAGACAAACGCAACGGAACAGTTTCTGGTTTCTGATTGTCATTCCTAGTTCCCACCAGCATTAGCCCAATCACGGCCCACCAATTAATTGCTAATTTTTCCTTTGGAGTTGAAACTATTGCCTCCGACTGGAATTCTAGGATTGCAACCATTGCTTGGTTCTTCGTCCCTGGTGACACGTGCCCATTCGTCTTCCTCCTCCAGCGAGAGGGCCAAGTTGGACGAGTTACCCTGAACGGTATGCACCAACGATCTCTACAGTTACGAAATGGTTGTGGAATTCTACTACTGCGGCTGACTCAGAAACGCTGTCCGAACAGCCATATTCCGCTAGGCAGCAGCAGCATCAGTGGCTGATTCCTTACAGTACTTGATTTTTTTCACCGCCAACCAGCGCTGCCATTTATACAGATTTATCTGTATTATACAGATTTTTTAATCTTAATACAGACCCGATACAGAATACAGATTTATCACAGATTTTTAAATTACAATACAGATTTATACAGATTTTTATAAAATGAATGTTATGGTGTTTTTGACAGCATTCACAACAAGAGGACCAACCGCTTTCGGATTCATATGGAGCTGGTAGTAAACGATTTGAGATTGTATGGGGATTTACAGTATGAATTGAATATTTCCAATATAAGCATGTATGTTAAATACAAGAAAAGTGCCCGAGCACATTAAAATGGTACAAATACAAGTACTTGTAAACATTTTACTTGCATTGAAAATGTATTTCGTAAGAAATTGCGGATTTTCTGATATTCTCCATACTGCAAAAATGATTTTACCAGCACTGGCGGGGCGACATCTCTCGACTTTTCGGTGGAACTACCACACAAATGATGTAATTAATTGTATTCATCTATATTAAAAATATCAAATAGTAATGAACTCGTGCACTTTTTTGCATTTAAAACTGCTTATCAGGAAGATAATGAATAGAAACTAAAATCTCCATACATTTTCAAACGGCTTCATATCACTCTTATAAATAAGTACGGACGATATCACAAATGGCGCAATTATATCCCGTATGGTTAGTACGATAGCCCGAATAGGTGGTTAAGCACTTTTTATGGTTATTTTGTATGCACTGTATTTGTAAAACAACAAAACATGATTAATTAAGAAAAAAATCGTCAATACAGAAAATACAGATTTTTTAATAGAGTGGATACAGATTTTTTATAAAACCACCTGGCAGCTCTGCCGCCAACTCTTCTCATCTACACGGATAAAAATCTCCTTATACCTTTTGGCCAATTTTTATTGCTGATTATTCATAAAATGTTTAAGTCAACTAATAAGCAGACGCCTTGCAAAAAGTTAATGAAGATCATGTGTCAAATGAAATGTATAAGCGGTCACACATACCCTTTATGCATTCCTATAGGACCTATGCGGTTTGTCTTATGGAATGCATAAGGCTGATGTTTTGGCAAAAATGTATAAGTGAAACACATGAATAAAATAATTGATTTTCGGTTCGTGTAGTATTGTCACTACAGTTGGAAACCGAAATAACCACTAGCGACAAATGATTTTACTCACGTTCTGTACTTTACAGTGTCGGAAGTAGTGCCATAGAGGTAACTCTAAGACCAGAAGGTCCCGAAGAAACGAGCTCAACTTTTTGGCTCAGCTCTGGTACTCACTTCGGTCCCAAGCTAATCGATTCACCCCTCGAAACATAGGAAAAACTAATAACCCCTCATTTTATCTGTCAAACTTTCATAGCGAATCAAAACAAACATTGCGTAGTACTAGAATTTCGACTAGAATGGGGTACGTTAATCGTTTGCTTGGGACCAATAGGCTAGTCAAGTAGTGAGCTAATTTAAAATCGTTAGTTTCGTATTGATTGTTGGTAGTGACTGTATAGCTCATCATTGTGCGCTAACAACGCACTACTTCCGACAATATGTTTAACGCACAGAACGTGAAATCGATTGTCGCTAGTTTCCAGCTGTAGCGACAATACATCAAACCCTTTCAAGACGATTCTTAAAAGATAACCAAATTGGTCACGTTTCATTTTGCGCTCAATATTCTCCATTATGTGGTTTCCAAAACAAAAAGCTGTCTAAATTTGAACTGAAGAAGGAAAAAAAGGAGACAGGAAGAAGGTGCCGGAAATCCTATCAGATGTGTACTAAATTGTACTGCGAGTTCGACCGTCACGTTTGTGGAACAATCGAACTGGCTGAAAGTGCCAACAAGCCGATTTCATCAAGGAAGTTCTTTTAACAACCAAGAATTAATCGTTTGAGGCATACTGAAGCATTAAGAAGGTGATATGTGTCGCTATAGGAAATCATCATCGTTGCAAATATAAAGAAAATAAACATAACCCTTTGCTTCAGTACCGTCAACCTCCATGTCCATGGGGAGGTTTTGACAGTTCAGTGGTTCTGTTTACACGCACCTAGTCGTTTTTTCGAAAAAAGAAATTCTAAAATTTCGGAATTTTAACTTGAAAATTTTGGAGGAACAGCGCGTTGAAAGGATGTTGCTCGTGGACATTGCAGAAGTGTGGTTTACATCTCACTGCAGTCTGAAAAATTATCGAAAAAATCCACCCAAGAAAAAATAGACTAAGTCTACGTAAACAGTACCACTGAACTGTCATCAGATTGAGATTAACCCCGTCGGTGCAAAATCTAATTAGGTTCTGCACTCGGGTTAAACAACCCAATTGTTGGTCTTGATAAATTCAAATATATTCCTCCATCATAGCAATCTTTTTTTCTGATTAACAACAAGACTGACAATTGTTTGTTGTGAAGTGATCTTGACTAGTAGTTTCCTGCTTAATTCAGTATTGTATCACCCGGATTTTCATTTTGAAATATGATTGCAAATTTTGTACCTTAAGGCTCCCGTAAAAAAAATCCAATAAAAATACAATGATTTTCATTGTCATTGTAACCATGTTATTTACTGTCAAAACATTGGACATTTTTATCCTTTACCATTAAATCACAACGAAATTCATGGTTCACAACAATGAAAATCACAGGGGGGGGGGGACACTCAATTGCATGTATTTTTGCAGTCTAGTAATTACTTGGGATTTCCGGGGGAAAACATAATTAATGGGATTTTTTTGAGTGTGTCATGTTGACGAAAATCTCGACCAACCATTCATGAAACTTCTTCAAAGTTCTTTATACAGAAATAAAGATTAATGTCGGCATGATTTCGATATACACATTTAAAAATCTTTATTGATCGATACTTACATTTACGATTATTTCTTCATCGGTCATATGATAGTAATCTATAAAAGGTGCCA